AGCAAAATTATTATACAGATTATCGGGTAAATTGTATAAATATTATTGCTTCAACATGCAAATTTACTTTGTTAAGTGAAAGTTAAGGTTATGGCAACTTTGTGTCAATTATAAGTGTAATTTAGTACTATTAAATTTAAGTAGTGAATATTTTAATTTTTTAACTTTACTTTGGGAATTTTTTATTTACATATATATATATATATATATATATATCAGTAAATGACAAAAATACCCTTGTAAAGTTGATAAATATTATTTGGGTTATAAACAAATGTACATTATATATGATAAGATAAAAGAGTCGAAGAATTAGATAATGAGTTAAAAAGGCGAGATTGACATCGTCAATATATATTCTTCTAATTTCATAATTAATTAATAATAATAATAATATGAAAATAAAAAGTATTTTTGAGCTGAGTTAGGGGTCTATAAAAGCATCTATAACACATTTAAACATATTTCAGACAACTTTAAAATCATTTGATACGACTTCTGTTAATGTAACACTCTCATTTCAATTACAAGGTGCCACGTAATAAAATAAAATAAACTCCAAATTGTAGCGGCTAATAAAGTCTTATCGCAGCGGAAGTCTTACAATAATATAATTGTAAATAAATATCTCAAAACTAACCCATCCTATATTGGGTTACATTACACATAAATTCAATTAAACTACTATTGATTTTAAAATTTATAACTCGAATAAAAGTTCTATTTCCTACGCAGAACCTTTGTCCTTTTCCGTTCTTGAATACCCTGCTCCTGAGATGCATACTAATAATCAGCTTTATAAAGCTTGGTGAGTTCATGGTTTTCATGCACAATCATACACACCTCATCATGCATAAAACAAACAATACCCGAAATAAAATAACATGCACGTTTGTTTCAAACCCTTTTGAAATAATAATGAGATCTCTTAATTTCCCGTCGGATTAAGGTCTTACCGCCACGGCACTTCCCCGGGTTACACGGCTATCCCTTGTCCGGTCACCCATCCCTAGGATGTGTCATCCCTATGACTTTTGACCCTTTCCCATACCCGACAAAAATATTAACCCGTTTATAACATGCTAATTAATGTTTAAAAACACGTAAACAAATAGCATGCAACCCACAATAATAATTCATATACATG